CTTTTAGATTCCTTGAAAGTGAGACATCTAGTCCAGACACTGCTTTTTAAAAAACACTCAAGGTTTCTTTGATATTGAAAAGTGGAAGTAATATGATTGCTGATAAATCACTGTCATTGTCTTTTTGCTGCTGTAGCAGTTTTTTCATTCTTCAATCTAGATGAGCTCACTTTCAAAGTACAGTTCACAATTTCATGATATCTTAATCCACTGTTGCTGGGATGGCAAGAATACATGCCATAATCACAGTGTCTTGTTCATTGCACATATATGGCTCCACATATGTTTAATTCAATGGATCTGGATGCTTTGCTGCCCACCCGTGGCCTAAAGTCCAACCATTAGGCTTAATTGATTGGTGACTTTCACAGGTGTGGCCTGTAGGCTGGGCACACATGTATACTCATGTGCGGTGTCAACAACTCCTTGCCTCCCCTTTGTAATGTTATCTCTTTTTCTGCATAAATGTTTCCCAGGGTCTATATTTGTCATTTCATATGCAGTATCAAGATGGTGATACTGTTTTCATTGTAGAGACTCCATATCATCTCTGTGCAATAAAAATAACAATAAATATCATTTTGTTATTTGTCATTTTTAACATTTTTGTGATATTAAATTTCCAGTTATATACCTTGTGCCACTGTTTACAGCTTGCAGGAATAGGAACCTGAGTATGGAAATATTGTCCTCCCTGGAACTGGCACTCTTCCAGTTATGGCTCATGGATAGTACATTCCACACTTGTTTACCAATTAAAATAATGCAAGAGCCCCTTCCTGGGTGCCTAATGAATCTAATCACTGTCCAATAGCTCTGTGCATTCTTGGTGAGTCATTCCTGTCACCCAGGCCTTCAGCCAAAATTCTCATGATGGTGTGTTCCTAGTACCCCAGACTTCAGCCAGATTTTTTCATGATTATGTCAACCTGCCCTCAGCCAAAACTTTACCATGATTTAATGGTCACATCACCTAAATCCAAGAAGTTATTTTACTTTCAAAAAGATTATAATTTCAAAAACAATGATAGAAATATTGATATTAATAGTATTAGAAAATATATTTTACTCAAAAACTTATGGAAAGGGAAAATCAGATGAGGACATAAAGGCTTACTATGTGGCTCCTTGGTGACTAAGCACCCGTGCAGCCATCTATGTGCAAACAAAATTCACAAAAGAAAATGACAGTAGACTTTTAGTGCCTGGCACCAATGGGATGATAGCAGAGCTTATATAGATACTCATATAAGGTTACATAACATGAGGTAACTGAGATTTGTTATGAATGTTGGCTAGTAAAGAAACAACAAACAAGGTGAACATCACTCTATGACATATCTATGAATATGCATTTCATCAAGAATGCAATAATTGATATACTCTTTTATATAATGTCTTTCACCTCTAGGGGTAATTACTGTATTAGGTGTTGGTATTTGATTGATTGCTGTATGACAGATCTGTAATGTATGAATTCTACAGCATATCTGCAGAGTGAATTCAAATTTAACCTATTGGATCTGGGTGCTTCATTCCCCACACATCGTCTGAAATCCCTGTAAATAGGCTTACTTGAATAGTGACTCTTCCAGGTGCGTGTCTTTTAGACCTGGCCCACATGAACGCTCATATATGAGTCAAGACCTGCTCCCTGACTCTTTTTTTTTTTTTTTTTTTTTACATAGTTTTTTTTTTCTTCTTCTTTGTCATTACAGCTCTGTGGAGTAGGAATAACAATAAATAACATTTTGTTATTTAAGTAATTTTTAGACATTTCCATAGTATTAGATATCCAGTAATACACCTTGCACTGCCAGTCACAGCTTGCAGGAACAGGAACTTGAGCATGGAAATAGTGTCCTTCCTTGGGGTGGCACTTATCCAACCATGGCTCATGGAAGGTACATTCCATTGCTTACTGGTGGAAGTGATGTAAGAGTCCTTTCATAAATACTCACTAAGTCTAATCTTCCTCTGAGAACTCATGTGCACTCATGTTGAGTCATTGCTGTCACTCTGGCCTTCAGCCAAACTTTTTAAGATGGCACATTCCATCACTCTCAAACTTTTTCTGGCATGACATTCACAACCCTGTATCCAATGGGTTTATAGTAACTTTATGTCCTCTAGTGCTATTAGCGATTATTGACAG